AATTGCATATTAATAGTACACTGAGACATCATTTTTTTCACATCAATTTGGCAAGAATTCGAGTTTGACTATGTACTTGGTTTTCTGGGCTCTGAAGAAATAGGGACTCTCATCAGTAGGTTGTTGATAGGAGTGTTAATTGGTTCGACCCCCATGGAGGGCAATTTGGCAATAGTTTTCAAAATTACAAATGCATTTACCCATTGAGCCAGTAATCCCATCCTAGGAATTTATCCTACAAGTATACCCGCATATATCATCAGAATGATGATGAATGACATGGTTTCTCCATGTAGAATGACTGTGATAGTAAGACTGGACATAGCCAAAGTGCCCATCACTAGGGGCTTGGTAAAACGGATGGTGGTATATCCACATATGGAATACTCACTACTGTAAAAAGAAAATGAGTACCTTTATGTTTGGATATAGAAAAAAAAAAAAGCTCTGGATATATTATAAAGTGAAAAAAACCAAGGGGAAAACAGAATATTTAGTATACTACCATTTGAATATGAAAGTCAGAGGAATAAAAATATACATTTGTATTTGTTCATATCTGAACAAAGAAATACTAGAAGGATATAAAATAAATTAAATTAAGTGGTTACCTCTAGGGGTTATAAAATGGGGTGGTCAGGGCAGAGTTAGAATGAGACTTTCCAATGTGTATCTTTATTATTTTGATTTTGATCTATGCGAAACGTTACCCTTCAAAACAACAACAAAAAACCCCCCTATTTTTAAAGGTCACCGTTAGTGGATGTTAAAAAATACATACACACAAACACTTTGAGATGCCATTGCCATAGTCCAAAGGATCAGGTACGAACTCCTAAACCTGCACTCAAGAATCTCAGTTTCTTTCTCTCCACCTCAGCCTTGCCCAGACCTCAGGCTCCAGCCAAACTAGTCGGTCCTGAGTCCCTGAGAACACCATGCGCTCTGGGGCCTGAATCTTGTTCCTTCGAACCTCCCTGCATGGAGTACCATTCCCTTCCTCTCAAGCAATAATGTCTTGGGGCCTCTTGCTGCTTTCCTGGGGGGCTTTAATAATAAGAAGAATGTAACAAGGATGACAATGATAGTGATGATGATGATGATGGCAGTGGTTATAACCACTATTTCCCAGGAACCTTCTGTGTTGGCACTGTGGTACGTGTTCTTTTGCATCTCTTTTTTTTTTTTTTTTAAGATTTTTATTTATTTGCGAGAGAGACAATGAGAGACAGAGAGCATGAGAGGGAGGAGGGTCAGAGGGAGAAGCAGACTCCCTGCCGAGCAGGGAGCCCGATGCGAGACTCGATCCCGGGACTCCAGGATCATGACCTGAGCCGAAGGCAGTCGCTTAACCAACTGAGCCACCCAGGCGCCCTTTTGCATCTCTTTTAATCTTCCCACCAGAGAAGGAGAAATTGCTGTGTCACACACAGGAAACTCGAGCCAGAGATGGCCCCACAGAGTGATCTGAACCTTAATCTTAATGTCTGGGGTCACATGGGCCTGGGCTAGACTGCCAGCTCAGTTCCTTCCTGGCTCTGTGATTTTGGAAAGCTACATCATCTACAGAAGCTTTAATTTAATCATCAGTGAAATGGTCTTAATAAAAAGTTCCTACTTGAAGAAGTTGTTAAGGATTGATGAGACACTGGGAAGAAAACATTCCACACATTGCTTGGCACATAGTAAGTGTTTGGTTAATGTCCAGTCACAGAGTTTGTAGTTGCAGACTCCAGCTACTACCCCATGTTGAAGTCTCCCTCCCTTGAAATGTGAAGTCTTAACCGAGCCTCCTGGTATCACCAACACCATGCCAGCTAATGTCACGTTATCTCTACCCATTTCCATGTGTCCTTATCAGTTGGATTGTAAGGGCTCAGGACCAGGACTAGCCCTGCATTTCTCTGTATGGACACTCCATGATCGAACCTGGCACTTAACAGATGCTCATTGAAAGTTTGATGATTAATTAAATCTGAAGAAAGACTGTAAGCAAGGGGACAAAAGGTGGGAGAAGAAAACTAAAATAAAACTAGAGACATCTTAAAGACTAGTTTAATTTTAGAAAACACTGGTGCCAGATTTGGTCAGGAGGAAGTGAGAGGCAGGAACCCTATGAGGTGGACGGGAAGTGAAATAGCAAGGAGAGAAATGGGGAAAAGAGGTATTGAAAGTAGTCCTATGCATTGAGGAAACATTTATATTTAGAGGGGCTGCTCTTGGGCAATGTTGAGTTTCCCCTTTTCTTGAATTCAATAAGATATTGATGATTGAAATGAGATTCAAAAGCCACTGCTATTCCCAAGTGCCTTACCCAATGACGCCTTATTGTTTCCAGATTATGGTGGTGGTTGATGGGGCTTTTCACTGATCACAGGCTGCTCGTGTGCCCTGATGGTCAGGAGAAGGCAGTGTGCAGCTGGGAATGTTAGTGGGCGTGGGTCATGCAAGGCCAAGAAGCAATCCCCAACTCTGTCCTCCACCCTGGGCATGTCCTGACTCTAGCAAAATAGGTGAGGAGGAATGAAGGGCTTTCCTCTTCTTCCATGTTCACCCTCAGAAATCCCACTCATCTTTTAAGGTTTGCTGCAAAGGATCCTTCTAGATGTCAGAACATCTAAATCTTCTAGATGTCAGAGCTGACCTGGCCATCCTCCACGTTCCACAGCACTGGTTTCTACTCTGTGATGGGGTTCACCCCAGACTGTTTCATGTGAGAGGAATGAGAAAGAAAAACTCTTCACCCTAGTCTGTGAACACCTTGAGGGCAAGGATCTTTCTTCTTCATCCTTATACTGCCTCAGGGGCCTCATCCACTGCCTGGCACCTGGTGCCTGACATATAATAGATGCCCTGTACATTTTTATTGGTCATGTTCTCTCTTTAGAGGGCTGGAAAAGAGCAGATGATGTAAAGGGCAGGGAGCCCAGATTAGATGCCCCACCTCAATGTCCCTGTGACACCCTGGACATCCCGCATCTTTTCAGCAATCATACAAGATTCTCTTGTATGTTTTATTTTTTTTATTTTATTTTATTTATTTTTTTAAAGATTTTATTTATTTATATGACAGAGAGAGACAGCGAGGACAGGAACACAAGCAGGGGGAGTGGGAGAGGGAGAAGCAGGCTTCCCACCGAGCAGGGAGCCCGATGCGGGACTCGATCATGACCTGAGCCGAAGGCAGACGCTTAACGACTGAGCCACCCAGGCGCCCTCTCTTGTATGTTTTAGACCCACATCCCCCAACCAGATCCTTGAGAGCAGAGATGGACTGACTTGGGCTCAAAGCAGGCACAAAGTGAGTGCAGAATGATTGTTAAATGGTGGAAACAACTTCGCAATGTCGTCCATTGACTTAGAGCCTGGCAGAGCTATTTCCTCTAAGAGTCATGGCTTTGTACTTCAAACCCAGGAGCGAGTCCCTGGTAGCAGGACCTCACCTGCTCTCCTCAAACTCCCATCTGATTTCATTCATCTTCCAGACCAGATCCATGAGGATCTGCAAGAGTGGTTCCCAAACTTGTGCATTAGAATCTCCTGGGGGAGGTTTTAAAATTCCTGGTATCCAAGCTGCATTTCAGATCAACTAAATCAGAATGTTTGCGATGGGTAAGAGCCTGGCATCGTGATTTTTAAAGATTCCCAGGTGATCCCAAGGGCCTCTAAGTTTTGGAACCACTTGTTTGGGAGATATTCCAATAAATTGGAAAGGTTAATTAAGGACATCCATACCTCTGACACAACATAAATGGGGTAACCATCCTAGGACATTTATCAAAGAGCAAAGGATCTGCTGTGACAGCCAGAATTTACAGATCACTGGAGAAGTAGGCTCAGGTAGGCACCTCAGCAGGGTTGCTCTCTTTTTCCTGTGTGCTTATTTGTCAACGTCTAGTGCGTTGGGGTCCCTGGGTAAGGGTCTACGAAATCACCAGGACACAGGGGATGCAGAGCAAAGGCAGCACTTGCAACTGCATACTGCCGTTTATTTCTCACATAGCTATATACTCGCAGAGATCAGATAAACATAACAATGTATCAAGCCAACATCTGTGAAGTGAAATATACACGAAATGCAATAAGAACAAAATACATCCTGTTTATATCCTGTTTATGCTTGCAGAATAAAGAATTCTCTTAGCCATCCTTCCTTTGGAGACAACATGTTCTTTGTCTTTAGAAAGAACACTTCTGTTTAGAAAGACACACTTTAAGCGAGGCAAGAGCCACTTCCTGCTGATCAGGCATTTAGGCCTTGCAACATGAGGTAAGGGGAAGAGAACGTTTTCTCCTCCTGGCCTAGGCCTGCCTGGCCGTCCTTAACCTCAGTGCAGTCCTCAAATGATCTGGGCCTGCAAGGGGCTTACAAGCCTACACCATCTCAATTCCCTCTTTTTTCTTTTGTTTTAATAAAAGTGCCCTCCAAAGGATGGCCATAGAATTCTGGGAAGGCTTTAGATAGCAAAAATGCAACAGCATAAAGCATAAGATAACAATCAACAATACAAGTCCCATTCCTCCAGCAGTATGCCCCAAACTCTGAATAATACCTTTTGGATCTAGTCCCTTAAGTTGCTTAAGAAGTAAATTGGCCAACGTAGCGGCATCTTCAGTCTCAAATGGTCTGCCAAATACCTCCTGAATGTTCGTGTGTAGGTCATTGATCATTTTAGTAGCTGAGGAATTACCTTCTAAATAACTTTGGATGATGCTCCACTCGTGCTGCGACTCATTGTATTTTAAATTGGTAACACAAAAAGTTGTGGAATTCCAATCGCAACGCAGCCAAACTTGCCTTTCTAGTGTCAAAACCTTTTTCCCTAACCAGCTCACCGTCTGTCTGAGGACATCTATTTGTGTTTGTAAGCGAGTATCGATCATGGTTTGTGAAAGCCAAAGATCCCGAGAGTTATGGTGCCAGTCTTCCACAAAATGCTTAGTCTGCAAAGATGTATGTAAAGCTATGCCTGATACCGTAGCTATAGTAGTAACTGCGATTAAACTTAAAATGACTGCCACAACAATACCGAGAAAACGTTTGGTGCGCTTTAGTACCCTTTTAAAAAACTCCAATACTAAGACATCTACAGGATTTTGAGCCCATGGTCGTTCTAGATCTACCGGAAGCCAAATATGAGAACGTTGTTGTAAAATCATAAGAGAATATTCGGAGTCAAATTCTATAGAGCTATTAATGCAAGAATATAGTCGACAATTGGTACAGTTAATACCGTTATCAAAGCTAAAATTCCCTATCAGAAATAGATATGGTAAAGGTACGCATGCAGTTACATTTATCTCTTTAAATGAGGTGAATTTATAAGTTGATGCAGAATTCACGGTGCCAGAAAAGGTTTCCTCGTAAAGTCTAACAGTCTTAAGCGCAGCAGCAATCTTCCATAAGTGCGTTTGGATATGGTCAGGAAATTTCTGATGTGCTATACGAGGATCTGCGATGCCGCCATCTCCCCAGGCCATCAACTGATGATTCACCATTGATTCATTCCATTTGTTCCGTGGTGGCATCCTGTAGGATAAGGACAAATCACAACATGTCTTATTCCATTCGGAACAATTCCGAAGAAATTGACCATATGGTCCCCACATAAGTAAATTCTTATAAAATTTCACGAATTTTCCAATACATTCCTGCCACACAAATGGTTTATAGGCCAGTCCGATATAAGTGAAATCAGGACAGGCAGGAAATGAGGGGAATTCAGCAAATGTAACATTTCCCCATGTCATGTTAAGAGACCATGCTTCAACTCTTTGTAAATGAGTTCGGGATCCATTAGACTTATTCCCCGGCAGGATCCAGTTCTGCCAATCCATCTCGGCACACGGGGATGGGCCCAGACAAATGTAAGGACCATCCCCTTTGTATGAAAAATTAAATGAGGTGCCATCATCCTGATTAAGATAAGTAAGATTCTTCCAAGGAGGCGAAAGTATCACAGGGGAGGTATAGACAGGAATATCTGCACTTCCCCAAGGTGCAGGTTCCATCATAGGTGGATTAGGTATATAGGCCCAATAGCTTACATTTGTCGCCTCGGCAGAGGATAATACAGTAAGCAAGGCACACATAGCCAAAAATAAATTTTCAGGCGTACAAGCCTTCCCTGTTCGCTGCAGGATTTTTTGCCCCTCCCCACTAAGCTTTTTAATTTGCCCCCAAGTCGGCAAAGCAGTAGCAAATATCTGCCGACGGCGAGGTCGTCCCCCCAAATTCAGATGTGCTATGGCCTGTAACGGAAGTTCATCTTGGTCTGGATTCCCCATCCGTCGTCTGGTGGGATACGGTGCCGTTCGAATTGGCCCTCGACCGGATCCATCGTGCGGGGAGCCAGGAACAGGTCCGTCCATCCTCTGTGGAGACATAAGCATAACCCTTCCCTCTATAAAGCAATAGCCCCGGTTGCCATTCTGCATCTGCAGTCGGTTTAAGCCATATATGTTCATTTAATGGAGGGGGAGTGACCTCTCCCTCTATGAACTGCTTTTCTGCTCGGGAAAGGATATCTCCCTGCGGAAGATTCAAGAAATTTAATGCGAACAGAGCTTGTTGCAAAATAGAACATGCATTTGATTGAGTGAATGCTAAGATATGATCCTTTTTCCTCCTTTTTAATTTTTTAATTTGCAACTTTAAAGTACTATGCGCACGTTCTACAATGGCTTGCCCTTGAGGATTGTATTCAATGCCTGTTTTATGCATGATACCATATTGTTCACAGAAAGTTCGAAATTTTTTACTGCTATATGCAGGTCCATTATCTGTTTTAATAATAGATGGTAAACCCATCACAGCAAAAGTTTCTAAAAGATGGGTGATAACATGTTGTGCAGTTTCGCCACTTTGTGCTGTGGCCCAAATGAATTGAGAATATGTATCTATTACCACATGTACATACATACAAAGTTCAGAAAACCACATCTGCCACTGCAGATACTCAGGCTCTTTTAAAAGAGCCCGACAGAGGACCCTCCAGTCCTCAGGAGAAAAATTATTATAATGTCGAGCTAGACTATTAACTAGCTCCTTAACATAATGTGATTGAGGTCCATATAAAGACACTGCCTTTTTCAAGCGACCAATATCTTCTATACCTATTCCGTCATAATATGGTGCTTGTGCCACCCCCTGGACTGGGGGAGGCCTGATAACAGGAAAAGCAAAGACAGAATTACCTGCACCAGCCTCATCATCCCTATCCTCTAGCGCATCAAGCTCAGCTAAAGCAGCAGAAAGGAAAGGATTTTTAGAAGAAAGAGCTGGTACAGACGGCAAAGGCGGAGCAGAGGGCTTCCTAGAGGGTTTCTTAGACTCCTCCGTCATAGCCATAACCTGCTGAAAAACCTTCCACACACGCTCCACCTCGGGATCCGATTTTACTTTCGGTTTTGGTTCTTCATTACCACACTCGCTAGGCTCACGGGATGGAGTAAGCTTAAAGGTATCTTTCTCTACCGCCCTTTTCTCATCCGTATCTAAAGGGAGGTCTTGTATAGAAGGAGCCATCTCCTTATGGAAGTCTTCGACCGTGCGGTCGTCCTCCATTGCTTTAAGCACTGTAAAAATAATCGACCAAATAGACCAAAACCGAACGGGAATTTTTTCACCCTGTCTCATTGCCTTCTCGACATTATGTCGAACTCGCCGCCAATTATCTAAATCTAAAGTTCCCTCCTCTGGAAACCAAGGATTCCATTCTCGAACCACCTTCAAGCACAGCTCAATATCATTAGAAGCGACAGTGATACCATAGACAGCAAGTGAATGCTTCAGCATTCGAACATAAGGAGTAGAAGTTTCTTGTCCCATCACCCTGTACTTAATTAAGTTACTCACCCTTCCTGTACGTCCTTCAGGGTCCCTGTTCGGGCGCCAATTGTCAACTTCTAGTGCGTTGGGGTCCCTGGGTAAGGGTCTACGAAATCACCAGGACACAGGGGATGCAGAGCAAAGGCAGCACTTGCAACTGCATACTGCCGTTTATTTCTCACATAGCTATATACTCGCAGAGATCAGATAAACATAACAATGTATCAAGCCAACATCTGTGAAGTGAAATATACACGAAATGCAATAAGAACAAAATACATCCTGTTTATATCCTGTTTATGCTTGCAGAATAAAGAATTCTCTTAGCCATCCTTCCTTTGGAGACAACAAGTTCTTTGTCTTTAGAAAGAACACTTCTGTTTAGAAAGACACACTTTAAGCGAGGCAAGAGCCACTTCCTGCTGATCCAGGCATTTAGGCCTTGCAACATGAGGTAAGGGGAAGAGAACGTTTTCTCCTCCTGGCCTAGGCCTGCCTGGCCGTCCTTAACCTCAGTGCAGTCCTCAAATGATCTGGGCCTGCAAGGGGCTTACAAGCCTACACCATCTCACTTATTCAGTCTTGTGATTGTTTCTTGCCATGTTTTTGCCCTCACTCGACCTTGAGCAACTGGAGAGCAGGACCCATGTCTTCACAAGCACACCAAGTGCCTGACCCGCAGTGGATGAGTGATGTGTTTGTGTAATAATCATGTCCGTGAGTTCATTCATTAATTCATTGACTAATTCATTCATTTATGCAGGCACGCAGTCAACAAATGATAATAATGGCAGACAGAAGGTATAGCATGGGCAGAGAAGAGGATTTAATTAGGAAGAGAGAGAGAGAAAAAATATAGATTCCATGAGGAGATAGAATCAAAAATAGGGGAGTAAAAGCCAAAGAAGAAAGGAGAAAAGAGTATTCATTCATGTAATGCAGCAGTATGCAAGTCAGGCTGGAAGAAGCTTACTTTTTTTTTTTTTTAATTTTATTATGTTATGTTAGTCACCATACAATACATCATTGGTTTTTGATGTGGTGATCCATGATCCATTGTTTTCGTATAACACCCAGTGCTCCATGAAGTACGTGCCCTCCTTAATACCCATCACCGGGCTAACCAATCCCCCCTCCCCCCTCCCCTCTAAAACCCTGTTTGTTTCTCGGAGTCCATAGTCTCTCATGGTTCTTACATTTTTTAATCAAATGGACTCAAAAGTTAGTTACCATCTATAAGTACTCTGTACTTTTTCTCCTGTTTAGTCTATTAATCATAATAAAATCAATTAATTACTATGGTACTGTTTGCATAATGTCTTTTTCCTCCTCCAGGCTGTTAACTCCAGGAAGGCAGACCTTACGCATGGCACTCACCTCCATGTCCCCAGGGCCTAGCTCAGTATGACATACAGTGGTGCTCAGTAAATATTTACCAAGTGATTCAGCAGATTGCTCATGGCTTCAGTTCTTTCTTCTATTAAAAAAATCATGGAGGGCGCCTGGGTGGCTCAGTTGTTAAGCGTCTGCCTTCGGCTCAGGTCGTGGTCCCAGGGTCCTGGGATCGAGTCCCACATCGGGCTCCCTGCTCGGCAGGAAGCCTGCTTCTCCCTCTCCCACTCCCCCTGCTCGTGTTCCTGCTCTCGCTGTCTCTCTTTCTGTCAAATAAATAAATAAAATCTTTAAAAAAAATCATAATATACTCATCTCAAGGTTGTTATAAGGAATAATTAAAATAATAATATATCTAAGTACCTGGTGCATGGTAAGCATTCAACAATTGTTAATTCATTATTATTATTAGGAAAGAGAAATTGCCTACTCTGTGCCAGCCTCTGTGCTAAATAATGGCCAAAAAGAGACAACTGAAAGAGCAAAGGGATTGTACCTTTTAGAAAGAGTAGGGATTTGAGGACCCCAGTGTCACCACCTTGGCAGCACAAAGCCCACTGACTGCTGGGCCCAAAGCAGGCCAGAGATGGGTCCATGCCCTGCACAGGGTCTCTATCTGAAACACTGGAGAAGGAGGGGACTAACCCTCCTTTTGGGAGGGAGGGTTGCAATCAATGTTTGGGAGTTACAATCAATGCTGTGGTATTGGCCTCTTCCCTTCAATTTTCAATCCCCAGATTCCAGCCTATTGCCCTGGGGTCACTTAAACACCTGTAGTGTCCTTATTCAGAATCCTTCCCAGAGCACCTTCCTTTCACCTTCATTCCACTACAGACCCCCATATTGCTTTTGTGAAGGCTCAGAAAACCCTGTTTTGTCCTTAAGATGTGTCTTCATCAAAGTTCACCACCTTATGCCTGTCACTCATCACTATGGCTCATGAGGCATCTCCTGTCCTCTCTGCCTTTGCTCACATCATTCCTTGTCTGTTAATACCCACCCATCATGCTCATATTTGCTGCCCCTCTTTTTCTCTCACCTCTGTGAAAACCCAGCCCAAAGCTCACCTCTAGGAAGTCTTCTAGTTTGACACCAGATGAAAGCTCTGTTGAGTGCCCCATCAGCACTTCCTTTCTTGGTAAGTGCTTTCTGGTTTCAGGTTTGGTGGTTTGGCCTGCTTGCATGATGCTTTACCAACAATCTCCAGGTGTTTCCTGTTACCCCAGGAGGGGAGGGCAAGAATAGGTGTTTCTCTTTAAAGGAAAACAAGTCCTGTTCCGCTCCTCTGGCCTGTGCCCTGCATTCATCAAGCCCTTAATCATCATGGATAAGTTGAAGGGAGAAAGAAGGTCTGTGAATGGTGTGGGGGGGATGAGAGCAGAGGGTACCCTGGAGAGAAGCTTTGGGGAAACCATCCACATCCCCTGTGAACCCAAGGCTCCTTGGTGAACAGGATGGGAAGGACACTATAGAAGCCAAAAGTCCCAGGGAAATTGGATTTTTATTCTTCTTGGAAGTCTAGTGCCTTCTGAGACTTACTAAGAAAACGTAATTTCCTCTTTCATTCATTCATTTTTTCAGATCAATGTGTTGAGCACTGACTGGTCTGTAGGTATTAGGAACACACAGATAAACTGGATAAGACCCAGTGCCCGTCCTCAAAACCCTCAAAACCTAATGGGGACACAGGCTAGTGAACAGCCAGTTACTGTGGAGCAGGAGAAGTGGCACGAGGGAAGAAGGTGCAGGGTGCTGTGGGAGCACAGAAAGGGAGGGGCTAGGGGAGGCCATGGAAAGTTCTGGAATCAGCGACTAGGAGTTGAGCACCAAAGGGCCAGTAGGAGCTAGTTAGCCATCGGAAGAATTAGGAAGAGGAATCAGCACTTGTGAAACCGTGAGGGGAGACAGTACGGAAGGTCCAGGGATCTATAAGCAATTCATTATGACCAGAGCATCCCGTGCAGGAAATCACGGAGAGGCGCATGGAGAGGGTAGCAGGAGCCGGATATCACAGTGTCAGTCTGGAAGGCTCTGCAAGGGCTCTTTGGGCTTTTCGTTGGAGGTAGATAGCCCGGAGAGATTTTAAGCAGAAGAGCAACATGATTGGATTTTCCTGTTAAGGACATTCGCTCTGGCTGCTGAGAGACAGACGGGAGTGAGTAGTGCAGGGGGTGGGGAGGCCAGAGGGAAAGCTACTGCTTGTCCCCGCAGACACCATGTGGGCATGACATGGTAAGAGATATTGCAGCGGTGGGGTCACAGGCTCAGTGACCTGGGTGGACCTTGCAGAGTCTGAGGGGTCCATGGCAGGCCTGAGGGGTGAGTGCAGTGGGATTTAGAGATCTCCTGGAGCTCAAGAGACATCTGGGGCTGGATCCCCGGGGAGATCTGGAGTCTGCATGGATGAGGCCTCCAACATGGATGAGATGACACTAGGGGCAGGATTGCAGAAGAGAGGGAAGCAGGGACATTTAGGGACCTGGAGGAGAAAGAGGAGCTGGCAGGGAAATGGAGAAGGCAGGTCCAGAGATTCGGAAGGTAAGCTGGGAGCAGTGATGGTGGAGAAGTCCCAACAGAGGTAGGCGGCAAAGTCAAAAGCAGCTGAGCTCAGGCATTTGGAGTCAGCAACATGGAGGTGGTGGTTTCAGTGGGCAGTGTGGGGCAGAGGCCTAGGCCATGGGCCAAGGGAGGAGTGGGATATGAGGAGGCAGGGAAAAGGACTCAGAGCTACCCTTGGAAGAAATCTGAATATAAAAGAAAAATTAAAATGGTGGTGATAGAAGGGGATGTCAGAGTAAAGAAGAGTCTTGTTTGTTTGAGGCTTTTTGATTTGGAATGGAAGAAATGTATGGAGGGAAATAGTTACAGAATGAGCAGTTAAGGATGCAGGAGAAGTAAGGGAAAAGAATTCCCAGAGGGAGGATGGTGGAGCACAGGCGGAGGGAGAGCCATCAGGTAGGGCTTGGGGCACTTGTTTGATGAGAGAGAGGGAGGTGGGCTTTGCTGAGAGCCAGGCTGTGTGGAGTCTGGGCTCAGGAGCTGGAGCAGAAAGCTGTTCACTGAGGCTGACTGAGCTCTGTCCAGAGTATGGTGGGAGGGGAGGACGGGGCAGTACTCTTATCCTCATGGTTCTGCCACCTTTTCCATCAGGACTCTATAGTCTGGGGAAAGGAGTCAGGAAGGCACCGTCTCCATCCAGTTCCGGGGTGTGATTTGTTGGGGAGGGAGAGTGACAGCAGTACAATGAGGGTTCTTAGAGTTGAAAATTCAGCAAGAAAGTACTTAAAGCAATGATCAAGGGCTCTGGGCCACCTACTGGCCCGAGTGAAGAGAGGAGGAGGGGAATAGGCTGGGGGAAAAGAGAGTGATCAAAGGTGGAGGTATTGATAAGGTGTCCAAGCCAAGCAGAGGGAGTAGGGAGAGCTTGAGGGCTGGGTGAGATGGGGTGTTGGAGTTTACAATTCCCAAGAAGCAGCAGGTCTCATCAAAGTCCTGGATGTAACCCTGGGTGGGGAGCCCAAGTGGAATCAGAATTTGGGATCCTGGAGTGGAAGAGGAGAGGTGCTGGATGGACAGAGCACAGGAGCCTGATGTCAAGATGATGCCGGACTTGAGGGGAAGACTTCGGGCCAGGAGCCAAGGCTTTCCATGACTGGAGAGGGACCAGGTTGTTGACAGACACTGAAGGAGGAGGGGAAGCTGGTGTTGCAGCCAGGTCCCAGGAGCTTCACTAGAGCAGGGGTTTTTATAGGAGGGCAGGGGGTAGTGGCTCTGAGAAGAGGGGCATGGGGGACAATGAACCATCGCTATCTGAAAGGGCTGCAAACTACATGGCCACAGGGGAGAGAGAGGTTTCCTTAAGGTGAGGAGTGCAGGTGGTGCTGGATCTAGCCCCAGCCTCAGGCCAGCTGAGATGCAGTGGCTTGCCTGAGTACACGCAGCTAGAAAGTGGCTGAGACAAAATTAAAATTAACCTAATGTGTGTATTCACTTACTTTTCATACCTGCCCAAGCTGCCCATTTATTTGTACAGCTGTTTTGATGCATTGCAAGCTTGGTGTGCAGGTCCTTTTATTCTGGCTGGATTTGTAATATG